TTTGCAGATTCCTGGCTGCTTGAGAGAGGAAAGGGCATTGTTTGACTGTGATTGACTGCAATTGAGAGGAAAAGGAAGGGGCATTGTTTTGCATGTGATTGAGTGCCTGGGTGCATTTGAATAGCTGCTGCCAGCACTCTGCTGGGGGAGGCCTCTATTTAAGGAAACACCTGGCCAGAGGCAGAGGAGACCCAGCTGAGCTCTGAGCAGGAACAGGAGCAGGAGACAGAAGGGTGAGTGGTTTTTTATTTGCTTTCAGCGGAGAGGATCCAGCTGAGGATTTTGGTGGGAGAACTGGTCTGGGAGTGTGTGGAAGCGCTTGGAGTTTTTGCAGATTCCTGGCTGCTTGAGAGAGGAAAGGGCATTGTTTGACTGTGATTGACTGCAATTGAGAGGAAAAGGAAGGGGCATTGTTTTGCATGTGATTGAGTGCCTGGGTGCATTTGAATAGCTGCTGCCAGCACTCTGCTGGGGGAGGCCTCTATTTAAGGAAACACCTGGCCAGAGGCAGAGGAGACCCAGCTGAGCTCTGAGCAGGAACAGGAGCAGGAGACAGAAGGGTGAGTGGTTTTTTATTTGCTTTCAGCGGAGAGGATCCAGCTGAGGATTTTGGTGGGAGAACTGGTCTGGGAGTGTGTGGAAGCGCTTGGAGTTTTTGCAGATTCCTGGCTGCTTGAGAGAGGAAAGGGCATTGTTTGACTGTGATTGACTGCAATTGAGAGGAAAAGGAAGGGGCATTGTTTTGCATGTGATTGAGTGCCTGGGTGCATTTGAATAGCTGCTGCCAGCACTCTGCTGGGGGAGGCCTCTATTTAAGGAAACACCTGGCCAGAGGCAGAGGAGACCCAGCTGAGCTCTGAGCAGGAACAGGAGCAGGAGACAGAAGGGTGAGTGGTTTTTTATTTGCTTTCAGCGGAGAGGATCCAGCTGAGGATTTTGGTGGGAGAACTGGTCTGGGAGTGTGTGGAAGCGCTTGGAGTTTTTGCAGATTCCTGGCTGCTTGAGAGAGGAAAGGGCATTGTTTGACTGTGATTGACTGCAATTGAGAGGAAAAGGAAGGGGCATTGTTTTGCATGTGATTGAGTGCCTGGGTGCATTTGAATAGCTGCTGCCAGCACTCTGCTGGGGGAGGCCTCTATTTAAGGAAACACCTGGCCAGAGGCAGAGGAGACCCAGCTGAGCTCTGAGCAGGAACAGGAGCAGGAGACAGAAGGGTGAGTGGTTTTTTATTTGCTTTCAGCGGAGAGGATCCAGCTGAGGATTTTGGTGGGAGAACTGGTCTGGGAGTGTGTGGAAGCGCTTGGAGTTTTTGCAGATTCCTGGCTGCTTGAGAGAGGAAAGGGCATTGTTTGACTGTGATTGACTGCAATTGAGAGGAAAAGGAAGGGGCATTGTTTTGCATGTGATTGAGTGCCTGGGTGCATTTGAATAGCTGCTGCCAGCACTCTGCTGGGGGAGGCCTCTATTTAAGGAAACACCTGGCCAGAGGCAGAGGAGACCCAGCTGAGCTCTGAGCAGGAACAGGAGCAGGAGACAGAAGGGTGAGTGGTTTTTTATTTGCTTTCAGCGGAGAGGATCCAGCTGAGGATTTTGGTGGGAGAACTGGTCTGGGAGTGTGTGGAAGCGCTTGGAGTTTTTGCAGATTCCTGGCTGCTTGAGAGAGGAAAGGGCATTGTTTGACTGTGATTGACTGCAATTGAGAGGAAAAGGAAGGGGCATTGTTTTGCATGTGATTGAGTGCCTGGGTGCATTTGAATAGCTGCTGCCAGCACTCTGCTGGGGGAGGCCTCTATTTAAGGAAACACCTGGCCAGAGGCAGAGGAGACCCAGCTGAGCTCTGAGCAGGAACAGGAGCAGGAGACAGAAGGGTGAGTGGTTTTTTATTTGCTTTCAGCGGAGAGGATCCAGCTGAGGATTTTGGTGGGAGAACTGGTCTGGGAGTGTGTGGAAGCGCTTGGAGTTTTTGCAGATTCCTGGCTGCTTGAGAGAGGAAAGGGCATTGTTTGACTGTGATTGACTGCAATTGAGAGGAAAAGGAAGGGGCATTGTTTTGCATGTGATTGAGTGCCTGGGTGCATTTGAATAGCTGCTGCCAGCACTCTGCTGGGGGAGGCCTCTATTTAAGGAAACACCTGGCCAGAGGCAGAGGAGACCCAGCTGAGCTCTGAGCAGGAACAGGAGCAGGAGACAGAAGGGTGAGTGGTTTTTTATTTGCTTTCAGCGGAGAGGATCCAGCTGAGGATTTTGGTGGGAGAACTGGTCTGGGAGTGTGTGGAAGCGCTTGGAGTTTTTGCAGATTCCTGGCTGCTTGAGAGAGGAAAGGGCATTGTTTGACTGTGATTGACTGCAATTGAGAGGAAAAGGAAGGGGCATTGTTTTGCATGTGATTGAGTGCCTGGGTGCATTTGAATAGCTGCTGCCAGCACTCTGCTGGGGGAGGCCTCTATTTAAGGAAACACCTGGCCAGAGGCAGAGGAGACCCAGCTGAGCTCTGAGCAGGAACAGGAGCAGGAGACAGAAGGGTGAGTGGTTTTTTATTTGCTTTCAGCGGAGAGGATCCAGCTGAGGATTTTGGTGGGAGAACTGGTCTGGGAGTGTGTGGAAGCGCTTGGAGTTTTTGCAGATTCCTGGCTGCTTGAGAGAGGAAAGGGCATTGTTTGACTGTGATTGACTGCAATTGAGAGGAAAAGGAAGGGGCATTGTTTTGCATGTGATTGAGTGCCTGGGTGCATTTGAATAGCTGCTGCCAGCACTCTGCTGGGGGAGGCCTCTATTTAAGGAAACACCTGGCCAGAGGCAGAGGAGACCCAGCTGAGCTCTGAGCAGGAACAGGAGCAGGAGACAGAAGGGTGAGTGGTTTTTTATTTGCTTTCAGCGGAGAGGATCCAGCTGAGGATTTTGGTGGGAGAACTGGTCTGGGAGTGTGTGGAAGCGCTTGGAGTTTTTGCAGATTCCTGGCTGCTTGAGAGAGGAAAGGGCATTGTTTGACTGTGATTGACTGCAATTGAGAGGAAAAGGAAGGGGCATTGTTTTGCATGTGATTGAGTGCCTGGGTGCATTTGAATAGCTGCTGCCAGCACTCTGCTGGGGGAGGCCTCTATTTAAGGAAACACCTGGCCAGAGGCAGAGGAGACCCAGCTGAGCTCTGAGCAGGAACAGGAGCAGGAGACAGAAGGGTGAGTGGTTTTTTATTTGCTTTCAGCGGAGAGGATCCAGCTGAGGATTTTGGTGGGAGAACTGGTCTGGGAGTGTGTGGAAGCGCTTGGAGTTTTTGCAGATTCCTGGCTGCTTGGGTCACCACACCTTAAAAAGGATATTATAGCTTTGGAAAAAGTGCAGAAAAGAGCAACTCGAATGATAAAAGGGTTGGAACACTTTCCCTATGAGGAACGGTTAAGGCGCTTAGGGCTCTTTAGCTTGGAGAAACGACGACTGAGGGGTGACATGATTGAGGTTTATAAGATTATGCATGGGAAAGAGCAGGTAGAGAAAGAGGTACTTTTCTCCCTTTCTCACAATACAAGAACCCGTGGGCACTCCATGAAATTGCTGAGCGGTCGGGTTAGAACGGATAGAAGGAAGTACTTCTTCACCCAAAGAGTGATTAACACTTGGAATTCACTGCCACAGGAAGTGGTGGCAGCTACAAGCATGGACGGCTTCAAAAGGGAATTAGATAAGCATATGGAGCAGAGGTCCATCAGTGGCTATTAGCCACAAGGTATAGATAGGGACTCTGGGGCAAGTGATGCTCTGTCATCTTGGTGCTTGGGGGGGGTCAACAGTGGGAGGGCTTCTAATGTCCTGGCCCCACTGGTGGACCTCCTGATGGCACTGGTATTTCTGGCCACTGTGGGATACAGAGTGTTGGACTGGATGGGCCTTTGGCCTGATCCAACATTGGCATCTCTTATGTTCTTATGTTCTTAAGGTGGGCTAATGGCGCTGTAAGCCGGAGCCACACCTGAGCTTTCCACATTAACTCCGTTGGTGTGGGATGTACCAGGACAGCAAGGTACTGCTCTAACTGACCAGGCCTTGGTGTGTAGCTGCCCGTTGCGGCAGCCATTTTGGTGTCCCAGCTAGCAAATCAAAATGGTTTCCCTCCCGCCACATAATCTCATTGCAAATTTACGATTCATTGTCCGGTTAGGGAACCCTAGAGCCTGCCTTCTGGAAAAAACCCATCTCCCATCCCGTGTAACGGGAAGGAGGGCATTGGTGGGTAACTGGTTAGCCCGCAGCGGAAATTTCACCTCAGCCATGCTGAGTAACACGACTGAGGTAAAAAAAAACCCCAACACACCATGAATTTTTCACCTCAGAAAAATCCCCTCCAATTCCTTGTCTTGTCAACTTGGGGTCATGAGACTGGCCTCCTCTGCAGGATTGTTGTGAGGACAGGGATAACGTTTGGTAAAGGTGAAATATGACACGGGTCGTCCCCCCTCCTCACGACAACTTAAAGCTTTTGCCCCCTTCTGGGGCTTTTACCACAGAACTAGAACGTGGTAGTTAATCTGGTTTAATTAAACCAGAGGAGGAAGGGCGTGGACATGTTCCTGCGCCAAAACTGAGGTAAAAATCCCTCACCCTGCCCTGAGGTAAGAGGGCGGGAGGAAAAAGACGCCTATTTGGAGGGAACCCCCCACAAGCCTCTCTGGCTCCGCCCCACCCGACGCTTCATCGGCACCCAACCGCGGCCACGCTTCGTCTGATTGGCTTCCAGCCCACTTTTTTGTGACGTCACAGAACAGAAAAAAAATTCCCTTCTTCCTCCCACTCTTGAAAGTTCCCTTTACTCTCGGCTCTTATTGCATCAGCTCCAGCCAATCCGGTGCCTATTCCTCCCCCCCCCTTCTCCCGCCCTTAAGTCTTCGAGTTCTCCCTCAGCCAATCCGCTCCCGAGGAGCGGTTTCTTGTCCAGCCCACATCCGTGGAAACGCCCCCCAAGTCCTTTTGTGCGCAAAAGAGGAGTTCCGCCGCAGGTGGCCGGTAGATCCCGCGTGGCGGCGCGGAGTGGAGTAGGGCGCGGACCGCAGAGAGGACCAGCGGTGGCCACGTGGACCTGGAGGGCTCTCAAACGCGGCTGGAGAGAGGGAGAGCCGGCAGCCCCACCGACCGCTGGATCCCCGAAGTAGAGGGCAGAAGTCGGCTAACCTTGCAGGACCGGATCCCCTGCAGCGGGATCGCACCCTCGGCTTGTTGCCCCCCCCTTTTTTTGGTGCTGTCCACGTGGCGTTTGCTGCTGGGAGGAAATCAAAAACACTTTGGACGTTTCGGGGGGACCTTCGGTAAAGATCCGGCTTGCTTCTCCTTCAGCCTGCCGCCGTTTATTTCCGTGCCTCCCTTTAACAAAACTATAAGACCCGCCGGATATCAAAAGCGGATAAAGTTTGGACTTCCTGCCGGCCGCTTGGCCCGAATAAAGAATCGCCACTCGGTCTGCGTCTCTGTGTTCCAGAGTAAAGAATACCCACTTCTCTCTACTCCAGATTAAAGAATCGCCACTCGGTCCGCTTCTACCTATTGCAGACTAGAGAATCGCCACTCGGGCGGCGGCGGCGGGGATTCACTTCTCTACTACAGACTAGGGAATCGCCACTCGGGGCCGCTTCTCTCTGCTGCTTGGCCGCTTCTCGCTCCTCCAGATTAGAGAATCGCCACCTGGCCGGCTCCTCTCTCTGCGCCCGATCGGTGAACCGGCCACGACCCTTCGGCCATGGCGGCGGAGAAAGGCGCCTCCAACGGGGACATCGGACCGGCTCATGACTCCGAAGGGGGAGAGCCCCGCGAGCCGAGCCTGGGCGCCTCCCGGCTGCGCAGCTGCCTGCGGGCCAACCTCCTGGTGCTGCTGACGGTGGCGGGGGTGATCGCCGGCGTGGCGGTGGGCCTGGGCGTCCGGGAGATGTCCAGCAAGCTGAGCCCCACCGAGATCCTCTACTTCTCCTTCCCCGGCGAGTTGCTCTTGCGCCTGCTGAAGATGATAATCCTTCCCCTGGTGGTGTGCAGCCTGGTGGCCGGGGCGGCCAGCCTAGACCCCTCGGCCCTCGGGCGCCTCGGTGGCTGGGCCATGCTCTACTTCCTGCTGACCACCCTGCTGGCCTCCACCATCGGCGTCATCTTAGCCTTCATCGTCCAGCCCGGGCAAGGGGCCGCACCCCCCAGGCTGGTGGGGCAAGAGGAGAACATGCCCCAGGCCAAAGACGTGGCCGATTCCTTCCTGGACCTGATCAGGTGAGGGGCCCCTAGCAGGGTTTCCCATCGCTTGCACATGCCCGGGGGCAGTGTTCCCTCTAAGCTGAGTGAGTGTGAGCCAGCTCATAGCTTTTTAGCCTCCGGCGCGCATGTTTTCATCTTCGGTCAGGAAGGGACGGCTCCAGAGCAAACTAATTGATGCAGCAGCCGAATCGCTCGCTCACAACTTTAATGCGGGCAGCTCACAAAGGAGAATTTTTGCTCACATGACTCCACAGCTTAGAGGGAGCATTGCCTGGAGGCATGCCTGTTAACTTCTCCAAAGGTGTTTGGGGGGGGTAGGTGGGCACCGTGCCCACTGGGGCATGTGGGTGGAAAAGGATATGGTCAGGTAAGGTTCACATGTGTGGTCTTATCACTAGCTCTCATAAGAATATTAGAAGAGCCCTGCTGGATCTTCTGTCTCACATAGAGGCCAGCTGGTTTCTCTGGAGTGCCAACAACAGGACACAGAGGCCAAGGCCTTCCCCTGCTAAGAAACTAAGAAGAGCCCTCTGCTGGATCAGACCAGGGGTCCATCTAGTTCAGCATCCAGTCTCAACACAGGGGCCTGACCCCTCATATGTTCAATAAAACTTTGTTTCAGTGGCTGGCCGGTTCCTCTGGAGGGCCAACAACAGGGCACAGAGTTCCTTCCCCTGATATTGCCTCCTGGCTCTAGGATTCGTGCCTCTGGATTGTCGGTTCCCCTCAGTCACCATAACTAGTAGCCAGTGATAGACTTATTCTCCATGAATCAATCTAATCCCCTGTAAAAGCTTTTTATTCCTGTGGCCATCACGACATCCACTGGCAGCGAATGCCACGTTTTGATCACTCTCTGTGTAAAGAAGTATTTCCTTTGGTCCATCCTGAACCTACTGCCCCTCGCCTCAACAAGCCATGATTTGTGTGTGCGTGTGTGAATGAACCTTTGCAGGTAAATCTCCATCTGGAGAGCTTTCCTATCTGCTGGTGGCAGCATATCTCAGTGGGGACAGTTCACAGGGGTGTCTGAGACTGACCTAATGGGGAGGTGGTGAGCATTTGGGAAACGGTTCCCCTGGTGCCACTCCAAATGTACTGTAGGCAGCCTCTTCCATGCCTGGTTCAGGTTAAGCCCTGGTGGGCAATGGAGAAGGACGCACAAATTGTCTGTCGTGTCAACAGCAGGACTCTTACTTTGCAAAAAAAAAGGGGGGGGAGGGAAATAGGGTTGGATGCTGCAACCCTCCGGCCTGTAAGAGGGTTTGCTGCCCACTCTATGTCTTGCTCTTAAATTTTAAAAAATGCCCTCAAAGAAGTTCTATTCAGTTCCAAAACTGTGGTGGGCATCTGGATTGCTCTGTTACTGATCCTTTTAGGAAACCTGGGCTGTGAAAGTCTGTGAGAACCTCTGGAATAGGGTGGCGTTTGAGGACAACACTTTGCCTCTCCTTCCTCCATAAGTGTTTCTTAGATCTGTTTATTCTCATCTGCCTTGTTTTCCACCCGTCGCGCCTTTGTGCATGCATTTCAGAGAGAATATAATCCTGCGCAAGGAGATCTGTGTTAAACTGCTGCTCCTCAGTCCATCCCAGAGAAGAAAACATTTGTATGTTCCCCCCCACCCCATCTTTTCCAAGTACACGCTTCCCCAGGAAGGCTGCTGGTTAGTTAGTTAATTTTCTTCCTGGCAGAACAGTCTGTCCCCATAAGGGGTAGGCGCAGCCCTGGAACCTTCTCTTTCCGAAATGACAAACTAGCGCGGGGCCATGTGTGGAGGAGATGGAAAAAGTTGTCACAGACGCGAGCTGTGGAGAGAGGGAATCCTGGAGCTTGCCGGGATGAAGCCAGGATTGTTTTGGTGGATTGGGATCTTGCAGAGATGTGAACAGCGTCCCTGGAAGAGACACAAACTTGCAGTGTGACTATGCCAGTGAGGGAGAGGGCTATGCGAAAGAACCACTCCTTTGTGTTTCTAGAGGAGGAGCCGTGAAGGTTTAAATACTGGGTGAGTCAGCCCATAGGGGCACTGGAGCTCACCGTCTGTCCGGGCAGTGTTCCCTCTAAGCTGAGTTAGTGTGAGCTAGCTCACAGTTTCTTAGCCTCTGGCTCACACGTTTTTGTCTCGGCTCAGGAAGGAGGGCTCCAGAGCCAAACTAATTTATGCAGTTGCCAGATCGCTCGCTCAGAGGTCATTTCGGGGGGGGATCGCAGTTCCCCCGGGTGAGGTACGGGGGGCGGGGCACATGACGAAGCCCTGCCCCCTGCTTCCGGCCGCCCCGCTTCCAGCCCTCGTTCAGCCAGGAGGAGGCAGGAGAAGAGGGAGGGTAAGTTGCTTCCTCCCTGCCTCTCCCCACCCCTGCCTGCCTGGGGCCAGGGAGGGCCTTTGCAGGGCTTCCTTGCACTCCTGCTGGCCTTGCAGGTCCACTGCCGGGCCCCTCATGGGGCTCGGCAGTGGAGCTGCAAGACCGTTGGGGGCGGGGTGTGTGGCCTTATGACACACTTCCGGTGATGTCAGGGGGTGTGGCCTTATGACACACGTCCGGTGATGTCAGGGGGTGTGGCATATGCTAATGAGTTATGGTAATGAGTTCCCCTAGCTCTTTTTCTACGAAACGACCCCTGCGCTCGCTCACAACTTTAATGCCAGTGGTTCACCAAGTAGGATTTTTGCTCACAAGGCTCCACAGCTTAGAGGGAGCGTTGTGTCTGGGGCCTGTAGCCCGCTAGGCAGCCTGGTACAAGTGTACCAAAGGCACGGTAGCCGTCCATCCCTGCTTGCTTCCTCCCAGCGTTCGGAGATAGTCTGCCCCTTAGAATGATGTTTCCGGAACGGTTGCAGCAAAACAAAAAGAGGCGTCCCATGGGAGTTCTAGAGGTGGCGCAGGCTAGCCTGACCTAGCGAGATCTCAGAAGCTAAGCAGGGTCAGCCCTAGTTGGTACTTGGATGGGAGACCCCCCAAGGAAGACCAGGGTCACTGCTCAAAGGCAGGCAATGGCAAACCACCTCCGGACATCTGGTGCCTTGAAAACCCTACAGGGGTGGGCCCAAAGCCAGCCACGACTTGACAGCATTTTCCACCGCTTTCCACCGCCAACAGAATTTATTCCAGGGAAAGCATCCGATGAAGTGAACTCACGGCCCTTTGGCTGGAATAAATCCGACAAACGCTCTGGAATGCCATCGGACTGCTCTTTTACTGTCTGTGCTTGAACGGGGGCGTCCGTTTCAAGGGATCATGGGTAAAAATCTTATGTACGTTATTTACAGTCTGCCTTTCTCACTTGGACTCAAAGGCGGTTTACACAGAGGAAGTCGATGCAATAGATGGGCTGGGACTTTAAATCAACAGTGCAACAGGGTTAGGGTTGTGGAACTCCTTCAGACCAGCACGGCTGCCCCCCTGTGCCCCCCTTGATCTAACATGTAACATGATGGAAGAAGGGCAAAGAAAAAAGCCAAGGTTATAAGGTCAACAGCTGTAAAGCGATATATATGTAAAAACAGCAGATAAATGTCTGACGCTAACTTGCTGGTCAGCCCGTCTACAGGCTTGACCCTTATCTACCTTTCCAGTGTATTTGAAAAAGTGTGTCTTGCACATGAAAGGTCACACCTTGAATAACACTTGGTTGGTCTTAAAGGTGCTGCTGGACTTTGGCCACGAGATGGGAACTCCCAAACACGTCTCCGAAGCATGTTATGAATGCACCCATCTTCTCCAAGCTAGGTCCCATAGATCCTGGTTGTTTCTTCTTCTTCTTCTTCTTGGAACTTGGGTGTTTGTCTTGGCACAAGGGACTCAGGTGCCGGCCTGGACTGCAGGATTCCAAGAAGGGAGGGGAAACAGAAGAGGCGTCCGGAGTCTTTTCCCACTTCCTCTGCCTGAACGGGCACTCCCAATCTTGGATCTGCGGCTAGATCATTTTCCCATAGCTTGGAGCAGTGGGCGCAGTCGACGTTTGGTGCCAGCGTGGTGCTGTGGGTGTAGGTTGTTTTGGTGCCAGCTAGGGAATAATGTTCTCCCCGCCCTACCTGGAGCGGTTTAATTAGTAGCTGGCTGCTGCTGTGGGCATTCCAAATCAGATCGGAGGGTTGTGTTTCCGCATCTTCCCATTCAGAGGTTAGGAACTAATTTGTACGCAGTGTTGTTGGGATGCACGTTTGTGACCCGAGTAGTGAGACAACCACGCCTTTCTACAGTCTGAGCCGGCTGTGTTCGTCGGTAGGGTTTGGATACCTCTCTGGAATATATTTATTTGCTCCGTTTATTTAGCTTCCATAGTAGAGTAGGGATTTGAACCTGAGTCTTTCCTGTAAGTCAGCTGCGACTTGCTTTTACACATACACAAGCAAGATGGGTACTTGGAAGGGAGACCACCAAGGAAGGCTCTGCAGGGGAAGGCGATGGCCAGCCACCTCTGCTTCTCCCTTGCCTCAAAAGCCCCTTGCTGGGGTGGCCATTAAGATAGTACTTGGAGGGGAGACCACCAAGGAAGGCTCTGCAGAGGAAGGCAATGGCCAACCACATCTGCTTCTCCCTTGCCTTGAAAGCCCCTCCTGGGGTGGCCGTAAGTTGGAACCTCAGCAGGGTCAGTACTTGGAAGGGAGACCACCAAGGAAGGCTTCGCAGAGGAAGGCAAGGGCAAACCACCTCTGCTTCTCCCTTGCCTCAAAAGCCCCTTGCTGGGGTGGCCATAAGTTGGAACCTCAGCAGGGTCAGTACTTGGAAGGGAGACCACCAAGGAAGGCTCTGCAGGGGAAGGCAATGGCAGACCACCTCTGCTTCTCCCTTGGCTCGAAAGCCCCTTGCTGGGGTGGCCATAAGTTGGAACCTCAGCAGAGTCAGTACTTGGAAGGGAGACCACCAAGGAAGGCTCTGCAGAGGAAGGTAATGGCAAACCACCTCTGCTTCTCCCTGGCCTCGAACGCCCCTTGCTAGGATTGACATAAGTCTTGATTGCACTTTACGCACACGCTCTCAGTTCTAACCACTCCACCATTTATTCTAAAC